CCAGGCATGCACATCTCCCCTTGCGTGCATGCCCTCTGGCCGCTCGGGGAGGGGAGGTATCCAGGCAGTACACTATAAATATAAGTTTTATTGATGTGTGAAATCCAACAAGTACAGCTGGCACCTCAGAAAGACTGAAATAAGCCGCAACATCTCTGCTTGCTCAACAGCTCCTGGGGCCCTCCGGACACGGGTGAGCACCAGCAGCAAGCTAGGACCTGGGCACCCTGTCCCTGTGGGACACTTACCTGCATGTGCAGCACAGCCCAGAGAGCCAGCAGGGCCCTGCCAGCAGCCCCGTGCTCCCCCAGAGCCCAGGGGCTCACCTCCATCCTGCCTGGTTCCTGCCAGGCTGCAGCTGTGGGGAGTGGAGCCCTGGCCCCGCATCGCAGCCTCCCCCCAGCAAGGAAAAAGGACCCAGGCAAATGCCACCCACCACAGCAGAGCTACGGGTGTGTGAGCAGACTCCCTTGGCCTATGAGCTGTTACCTGCTTCTTATTTTGGCAAATGATCCCAAGGAAAGAAAACAGCACACCTCCAGTCATGTGGGAACATGAGTTTCAACAGCTGCACCTCTCTGCATGGTCCATCCCTGCCCTGCATCACACATGCAGCCACTGTACAACCTCCTCTGCACACGTGGACAAGGCCAAGACTGGGAAACCACAAAGTCCAGCATGGCAGGGATGCATGAAGGTATCCCAGGTAGCTGCAGGTTGCCTGTGGCACCAGGAGCTCCCATGGCAAAGGGACAGGACAATTAGTGTCCACACACCGTGAGAATGAAACACTGTTTTATTGCCTGATTTGAGAGAGGGATGAAACCCTGGGAGAAGCCCCTTCCCCTTCCTGCACTAGCCCAGTCTCCGCTCCAGCAAACCCTATCACCAGCCAGGTGATGCATTTGCTCTTCTTGTGCAGGTGACAAAGGTGGCCTGGACATGCATGGAGGTGAGAGGCTGTACCCCTGCTTGCCCGCCTGCATTCACAGCACGCATGGGGGAGAGGCAGTACCTGATGCAACCGTGCCTGTGGGCTGAAGGAGCCAGGCTAGGGGGCTGAAGCAGTTTTAGATGAGTTGAAGTTCAACCAGTGCTCCCAGGGAGCTGGAGCCACGGCCTGAACCACATCCTCATCCATTCAAAGTGCATTGCAAGGGAAGGCAGAGGGCAGGAGGGGAGAGGAGGTGTGGGGGAAGAAGCCTGCTCTCCTCCATCACACTCCTCATGATTATCCAGACGCGTTCCCTGGTGGGATTCCTGTAGCCAGAAGCACCCACGGCCCCGCTCCCCTGCTCTGATAAAGTGCATCCTCGGTGCTGCATGCCAACCCAGCACGTGGGTGCTCTCCACCCACTCAGGACAAGGCAAGACCCAGTCTATGCACCCCTGGCCCCACACCACAAAATGACCAGTATCATTGCCAAGGGGTCCTGCCACAGCCTGGCTCAGTGCCTATCTTGTCCTGGAGAGACCATACCAGAGAGATGCCTGCTAGCCAGCGGGCTGGAGCGGCCCAGCCTTGCTCCACTAAGGGACCCCCAGAGAAGAGCAGCTGCACCCCATTCCTCTGCCATGCCAGGGCAGAGATAGCCCCTTTCACCGTGCTCCTGCGGGGCAGGGGGCCACCCAGGCAGCAGAGGGGCAATAAACCCCAAGTGCTCAGCCCAGCCACATTAGCCTGTGGGGCTTGGTGCAAACATGCTCGGTCCCTTTGCATTTCTCTGTGCCTTCCACTGTGCCTGGGATTGTCCTCACTGAGAGGGATGAGGCAATGGATGGCCCCGTTCTGGCATCTCAGCTCAGTTCACTCCTTGGGCACCGTCTGCCCTTGGGCACCACCAAGGGTGCCTTTGCCTGTGCCATGGGGTGCCCAGATCCCTCACTCATCGCGGCCCCTTCATACCAACACGTTCACTTGCCAGCTCTGCTGGGAATAGCAGTGCCCTTCTCCAGGGCACCCCAGGCCTCCCACTGCTCTGGGGACGAGGTGCACCTGCCCCAGCGCCCTTGCCCAGCTCAGGGACACAGCCATCCTCCATCTCCAGGGCTCGCCCCGGCCCTCTGCCCTGCAGTGGCTGCGTACCTGGTCAGATGGGACTCTGCAACCAGTGCACTCACCGGCGCAGGAGGCCTGGGCTGTGCTGAGCTGTCCTGGTGATCCTGGGGGCGCTGCCAACTGCCCCCTCCCAGACAGCAGTGGTCCAAGCAGTCACCTGTGGAGCTACGTGCCCCGGCAGTCTCCCTCTGGCCACGCTGAGCTCAGGCAGCCAGTCCCATGGCATTTCTCTGCAAGCAGCAGAGGCTGGCCAACAGAGGCTTCTTTTGCAGCATCCCTGTGCGCAGGGGACATGGGCAGTGGCAGTCCTGGGTGCCTGCTGGTAGCCCCCTCCGCTCCACACATGGGCTGTCGCTAGTCCATCTCATCCTGGTCCTTCTGGAAGTGGTGGTGGCGCTGGCTGCTATGGCACAGGGGTGTCCCAGGAGGTACCGTGTGCTGGGTGCAGGCAGCAGCAGGACACAGCCCTGGGGACACAGTGCCTCCGGTGTGCAGGAAGCAGGACCCACCAAGAGAGCCCCTGCTGCCGGGGAGCGGGCAGGAGCCAGGAGCTGTGCAAAGCTGCACCATTGGCATCTCCCACCAACCTTGGTATCCGTCCAGGGGAAAACCCTCAGCCCAGCAGTGCACACCCAGTGCTGGGCAAGGCTTAACTAACCACAGCCCCGGAGCAGGACAGAGCTGGGGCACTGGTCTCATCAGCCCCACTGACAGTGAGATGGAGAAGGGTGACAGTCTGCAGCTCCACCATCCCCCTGGCTCCCTGCCCATCCTTCCACCTGGTGACAAAGAAGATGTGGGGACCATCCCCCATTTGACCGTGCCCCTGCAGCTGCAATTGGCAGCATTGTGCCCAGGAGACTGCAGCACCCCCGGGCTGGCATGGCTCCATTGCAGAGCATGGCACAGGGCTGCCAGTGAAGGAGGATCCAGGAGCGGAGGGGAATTTTGTGAGGGACAGCGATAAGTCAGACAAGAGCCCCTGGGGAAAACCCCAGTGCTCAGCATGGAAAGGGCATCTGGACATGTCCTGCTTCCAGGCCCTCTGTACAGGAGAGCCCCATGGCTACAAGCTTGTCGCAGCGATGCTGTCCAGGCAGGGGAAACCTGACCTTGCTGAGTGCCCAGCATCAGTGCTGCCCCACGTCTGCCATCCACCTGCAGACCAGCCAGACCCTGCTGCGTGGAGCAGTCCCAACACGAGCCAGTAAAAGCAAAGCACAGTTTCAAGGATTTTGCTGAAATCTGGCATTTGCCCTGCAATCTTCTGCTGCTCAGAGTGTGCTCGCGGCAGCATCTCACAGACTGCACTTGAACCAGGGCTCAGCATACCAGGATGGGGCAGAGCTGCCTTCCCCATGTCCGTGCTCACTAAAAAGCAGTGGGTTCCCATGTGCGTGGGTGACCAGTGCAGCCCTGCAACACCAGTGCCAGCACACCCACAGACAGGCCTGTGTCATGAGGCTAAGCAGCGTGTTGTGCTCCCAGCGCAGCAACGCGTGCGGATGCTCCATCAGCTCTTGTCTCAGGTCTGTTCCTTTGGAGAGCCAGTGAGGTGCCGAAATGCCTTGCCTCTGCAAGGGATGTAGAGAGGCAGGTGACTTTGGAGGAGCCACTGGAGGAGCCATCGGAGTCACTTGCCAAAAGGGACCTTTTCCTGATAACAGTCACAAAGCACAAAGCCCTTCCCAGTGTCAGGGTTGCCCAATGCAAACAAACCACTCCAAGATCTCACCTCTTTTCCAGTTCTGGCGCTGCTGGGACACCCTTCTGCACAGTGCTACCCTGGGAGGTTTGCACTGTGATGAGGCCAGGCGTCCCTGGGGCTTGCGTCCCCTCCTTAGACAGACGGTGCTGGGCGAGGCTCGTCCTCCCTGTTCTGCTCAGACAGCCACAGTTGTGCCAAGGGAAGAGCAGTGAGGAGCGAGATGGTGCAAGGGAAGGGCTCAGGGCCAGCTCTTCTCCTGCAGCAGAGGCTCCAGCGATGGCAGCGCTGAGCCCAGTCCTGCTTTTCAGCTGCCTGGCGCTGGCAGGGTATGGGAACCTAAATCCTCCCCACTCCACGTGGCACTTGTAGGGACCAGTCACTTCTCTCCGTGTTGGTTGATTTTATCCTCTTGGCTCAGACTCCAAAGACAACAAGGACTGAATGTGAGACTCCCTAAGATCTAAGAGTACTGTCCCATTCTCACAGACCCTGCCACATCCCCAGGTTTGAAGATCCCATCTCTGTGGATGGCATCTGAACAGAAGTCCAAGACAGAGCCCCAAGTCCTTCTCTGCCTGCTGGCTCCCTTTCCCCTCCAGGCAGACTGGGAAGCAGTGAGGTTTATAAAAAAAAGGAGGAAAAAAAAGGAGGAAAAAAAAGGAGGAAAAAACAGGAGGAAAAAAAAGGAGGAAAAAAAAGGACAAAAAAAAAGGAGAAAAAAAAAGGGAGAAAAAAAAAGGGAAAAAAAAAAAGGGAGAAAAAAAAAGGGAGAAAAAAAAAGGGAGAAAAAAAAAGGGAGAAAAAAAGGGAGAAAAAAAAGAAAAAAAAGAAAAAAAAGAAAAAGAAAAAAAAAGAAAAAAAAAGAGGGGGGATTTATGCAGAAAGAAAAAGGGGATGCAGCAATTTCTGTGGCTACGGGGACAGGAAACGCTAAAGCCTTGTGCAACTTGGCCTATTGCATCTTTGGGCTCTCAGCACTGACACACATGCTGGCCAGGGGGGCAATGGGGCTATGTGCTGTGCTACCGATCCATGCTCTGCAGGTGTCTCTTCCCGGCTTCAGCCCCAGGATCAGGCAGCCCCTGGGTGCTGCTCCCCTCCTGCCCGGGGCAGCCGGCTCCTCTCGGCCTTGCTCAGCAGACAGCCACCTCCACAGGGCTGTCCCCGGTGTCCCAATGTGTTTGGCGGAGAAGGGCAGTGCTGGGCAGGGGCAACAAAAGAGGATCCAAGCTCCGTGGGGTTTGGCAGTTCTTGGGGAGAGGATGGCACATGCCAGGGCTGTACAAAACGTTTGCAATGGAGAGTGTGTGGAAAGGTTAAAACAGTTCCGAGATGTCTCAAAACCCTTCTCGACTGAGCCAGGCCTGGCTGGCACCTACCGACGCCTCCGCCACGGTCCGTGACCTGCTAGGAGCACTGCATCCATCTGCAGAACCGTCTCTCACAGCAGGCCAGGCCCGGGAACGGCACCGGGGCTCCACAGCCCCTTTATCTCTCTGACTTGACTTTGTACCTGAGGACCAGATAAGCCAGGAGCCGCAGGATGACGAAGAAGATGCCCAGGATGAGGAAGTCCAGGTAGAGCTTGGCCTCCTCCACGTCCAGCTCCTGCAGGATCTTGATGGGTTTTTGGAAAGGGCAGAAGTCCTCGAGGCACTCCAGGTCCTCGCGCTCCATGGCATAGATGGTGAGAATGACACCTTCGAAGCCATACCTAGGGCAGAGCACATCACGAGAGTCATCGCATGCCCCAGGCAGCCCCATTTTCTCCCCAGCCCATGGAAGCCCCAGGGCAGGGAGCTTCTGGCCAGAGCGTGGGGTCCCACCTGACATAGGAGACGTAGGAACTCCACTGCAGGTAGGTGGGGATGGTCTTGAAGCTGACGAAGAAGCCCGAGAAGAGCAGGACGGGGATGGCAGTGACGGGCCCCACAAAGGTAGCCACCTGGGGAGCAGAGGCCACTGGATGTCATGTCCCTGTCCCCGGGCACACTGCCTGTGGCACTCACACGCCTGCCTATGGGAAACACTTCCCTCCACCCCTTCTTGTCATGGGACCCCCTGCAACTCTCCCACCTTCTCCACATAACAGGCAAAGCCGGGGCCCCATCTGACCTGTAAGGAAGTGGAAGCAGCTCCAATGAGAAGCCCGAGGGACTGGGCCACCAGGGCCGTGGCAGTGGCCAGGGCAGAGAAGAGGAGGAAGCGCGTGGCTTCAGGTGGCTGACCCGTCATCCAGTACACGATGCTGCAATATGCGATGGGGCAGATCACCTGGAGAGGAGCAAGCAAAGACACCGCTCTGCTGGACCCATGGCCATCTCACCCCACAGACCCTTCTCGGGGGTTGGAGGGCTGCAGGGACCCCTCAAAGGCCAGCCCGGGGTGTTGGGGTAGCTGGGCAATTGGCTGTGCCAAGGAAGGCACAGCAGCATCGGAGCCATGCTCTAGTCCAGCCGAAAGCTCACCTGGAAGGGCACGTCTGCCATGGTCTTTGCCAGATAATAGGCTTTCAGGCTGTACCAGTAGTTCAAGTGCTCTCGCAGGAATACAGACATCTCCTGGGGGACTGCATGGAAACAAGGAGTGAGCAGCCAGCAGTGCCCTCCAGCCCATACTCCCACCCGCCCCAGTGCAGGCAGATGTGATGCTGCCCCGGCACAGAGCACCAGGCCTCCTGCCTGTGCCACGAGTGGGTGCCCAGATCTTCACCAAGTCAGTGACCCATGGGGGAACTTCCTGCATGGAAAAGTCAGCTTGGCTGGGGGTTTTTAGGCAAACTTTCTGAGGAAGTGAGAGGTAAAACAGCTGAAAATGCAGCTTTACAGACATTTTCTCAGCAAAAAAAAAAAAAAAAAAGAAAAAAATTCCAGCATTCTGCTTTGAGCCAGCAAGTACATTATAGACAAACATTAAATAAAGGGCAAAACTGGAATATACCCAGACATTTTCCCCCTCTTCTTTGTTTGAGTTGTTTTCCTCTCCTCTCTTCTTTCCCCCCTTTTGTGCAATTCATCTAGCTCCACCATATACCACCCAGCAGACACCCCACACAGCTGGAGCACTCCCCTGCCCCAAGGGCTGGGAATGAGTGTTGGGGGAAGGAGCTCCTTACAGGTGAGGATGGTGGGCATCAGTGCGGCAAACATGAGGAAGAGCATGGAGAAGAAGAGAAAGCCAGTGTTGTTGAAGACTTTGCCCGCGTCGTTGCCAATGTGCAGGTAGAGCAGCCCGATCAGCACCCCGATGCAGATGTGGGACATGAACCGCAGGTGGGTCAGCACCTGCAGGCAGAGAGGGTACAGGGGCTCAGCAAGGCAGGAACACATCCCATGAGTATCCCTGGGGAGCCTGCCTGCTCCTCAGGGGTGAGCCCCACTCCAGCCCCCATTCAATTCCTGTCTCCACCTACCCCCAGTGACCAACATGCCCCATGCGCTCAGCCCTGGCCCAGCCTCCCTTGCCCTCACCGTGTCCCTTAGGATGCAGATAAAGGTTCTCTTGAAGAGGATGCAGAACTGGGTTGAAGTGCTGGTGGCAAAAGTGTGGCTCTCAATGTGGTCCACATCCTGCAAGACCATGGACAAGTCAGGGACATGGGTTAAGCTCACAACATGGGATCCCTACTAGGATGGCAGCCAAATGCTCCCAGGGTGCCCCTTGTGAGCACCCCTGGTGAGAACAGGCACTGCCAGCTGCAAGCACAGAGCTGTTGCAAGCACAAGACAAGTGGAGGCTGGCTGAACACCTCCATGCTTCCCACCATGTCCAAGGGGCTCTAGGCATCAGATGATATCCGTGCACAGCGAGGCAGGGGGGACTGAGGTGTCCCTGGGTGGGCACCCTGTTACCTGCCACTGCCCATCACTGCAGGAGGCTCCTCTCATCCCCGCTCACCGTCACACAGTGTGCTGGGCATGACGGATCTGCCTTGTCAGGGCTGCTCTTCTTCTCAGCCATGGTGCACATGCCATTCTGGACAGCGCGGAACAGGACAGGGTTGAGGTCCCCGTATTCTCCTGAGGCCACCTCGATAACTGTGGAGAAGAATAGGACCACTGAGAGGTGCTGAGCCAGCCCTTGCTGTCACTTTGCTCAGCCGGCCCAGGCCATGACCCCCCAGCTAGCACCTAAAGGGAAGGGCACAGGCAGCCCTGCTCCCTCGGCAACCCGGGCACTGGGTTTGGACCTTGTCACCTTCTGCTCCCCACCACGGCCCCAGCTGGGGCAGAGGCACTCACTGAAGTCAGCAGGGTTGTGGTATGTGGGGCAGTGGAGGCCGAGACCCTTCAGGTAGGGGATGAGGTTGGTCACGACGCCTTTGAAGATGCACTGGCCCTGGCTCAGGATGTACAGCTGCAAGAAAAAGCCAGGATATGGCAGGTGCAGAGCAGCCAGGGGCACTGTCACCTGCTCCTACCCACCCCCCCTGTCCTAGGGTGACATAGGGCACCCTTGCCAGACCCCAGCCATCAGGGCTGTGTGCCACACAAGCCCCAGGTCAAATGCCTGCAGCCCATCCCTCCCATGGCCTCTCTTCTGAGTCTTGGGGCCAGACGGACCCTGCACCCCTGAAGAATTCTGTGTCCTAGCCCAGCCCAAACCTTGTCGAACATCTCAAAGAGCTTGGCGCTGGGCTGGTGGATGGTGCAGATGATGGTGCGCCCACCCTGAGCCAGCGACCGCATCAGGGAAACCACCTGGAAGCAGGAGGCACTGTCCAGACCGCTGTGGCCACACAGGATGGGGTAGAGGAGAAAGAGACAGCAGAAAGAGAAGGGAAGATTTGAGAGAGGGAGAAGTGTATCTTAAAGATGTCCCCAGTTGCCTCCCCTTGTGGGTACCCTCCTCCCAGGTCAATGGAGAAAAGCATCCCTTTGCAGCCCCAGCCCTGCCGTGCCCCAGCCCTCTTGGAGCCCTGGTGGGCACAGTCACATCCCGCCCTCAGGTCTCACAGCCCTGCTGTGCTCCAGAGGGTGCTGGGACCCACTGTCCCCCAGCAGGGGAAGCCCAGCTGGGCAAGCAGTGCTGGGGAGCCCCAGCCCCTGCAGCCTCACCTTGTGGGCTCATCAAAGAACATGACGGGAGGGTTGTTCACCAGCTCCAGGGCGATGGCCAGGCGCTTGCGCTGGCCCCCAGACAGCGAGATGGTGCGGGTGTAGGAGCACTCCAGCAGGCCCAGGGCCGTCAGGATCTCGTTCACCTGTGAGACAGCCTCCTTCACCATGGATTCCCATAGACCCTCACCCCATCCCTGCCACCTCCCTTCAGACCTCCATCACTGGGAGCCCCTTGGCATCCCTCAGTCCCCTCAGGGCCCTCCCTTCCCTACTGTCCCTGTCCTGGGGAGAGATGAGGGGCCCTGGCCCCACCTTCCTCTGCACTTACCAGCTCCTTCTTCACCTCCTGCTTCTCACTCAGCTTCAGGTTAGCAGAGACCTGCAAGGAGAGGATGGGCAGGGAGACGCAACTGTCAGATGTAGGGAATGGAATCGGCTGCACCGTGGCTCCATCCCTGCCCAGCTGAGGGCTGGGAGTGGTAGCTCAGGATGCAAGAACAGCAGGATTTTGTTCCTGTGTTCCAGAGCCCTTGGAAATGCCTGATGTCAGTGTGGGCTCAGTGCCCGAGGACGCAGTCCACAGGATGCCCCACAGAGTCCAGCAGGCTGCCTGGCTCCCTCATTGCTCACCATCATAGCCTCCAGCACGGTGAGGTGTGGCAGGAGCATGTCATCCTGCATGATGTAGCAGGACATCTTACGGAAGGTACGCAGGTCCCGCGGCCGGCCATTCACCAGGATCTGGCCCTTCATGCCGGTCTCCCTGTAGGAAAGAGGCATAGGGGGATGTAGCACAGGACCCCCAGCCCTGCACCCTGTCCTGGTTTCGGCTGGGATAGAGTTAATTTTCTTCATAGTAGCCAGCACAGTGCTGTGTTTTGGATTTAGTACCAGAAGAATGTTGATAACACACTGATGTTTTCAGTTGTTGCCAAGTAGTACTCAGACTACTCAAGGACTTTTT